CCTTTTTTTTCTTCATAAATATGAGCCTCATGTGCAGGTCTAATCTTTAAAAGTCTCTCTACTAACACTATTTTTTAAATATTTGATCTACTGTTGATCCACAGTGAATAAAGTAGTAAATAAAGTTTAACACTCACCACCTGTAGTTGCAGTTTCCTCAATAGAACGGACCCAGTTTAGGAGCCTGGAAACTCAAGAAGACTCTAAAAAAAAAAGCAAAAACAGTTTACAACAGTCATCTCAAACAGTCCATAATACAATACAAAGATACAAAATGTCAAATGAATGAAATGAAGGGTTAAAGGACAAGCTGGAAACCACTGCTCAATGGACTTCACCTGACATGATCCCCCCCTGGTGGACAGATCTAAGAAATCCTCTGGGAAATCTTCAACAAAGTCTGTTAATAAATCTGTGACAATGAAAACAAAAAGGTGGCAGAGCAGGTCTACTCGGCTCCCTGGGCTAAATTAAACATCAGCACCGACCCCATTACCCCCCTCCGCACCCTCCCGCCCACATTCTGCCATTTTCAGGAGAAAAAAAAACATTAATCACATTGACTGTTTTCTATTAGAAACAACAATAGTGACATAATCCTGCACCAAAATGTGAAATAAATAATGATTTAAAGTAAGCAGACATAAACACAGTTATAACATCCATATAAAATAAATACACATTTTAATAATTTGTCTATTATCATTACTGATGTAACCATTAGATGAACCCTAATAGGCAAAGAAAACCAATTGACAGATTATAATAAAAAAAAAAAACAGAAACAATTCTTTTTTATTTTGGGTGGTTGCCCCAGCAGTTCCCATGCATACCACTAGTTGGAGCCCAAGCACAACCAGTGGTATGCCTTCTGACATTGAAAAGAAAAAAAAAATCAAATCAAAGTGTGACAACAACTTTGTACATATTTATTAACAATTTCCAATTAACATTAAAAACTCCAACAAGGTCTGTGACGTTGAGCGACGGTTGGTCATGACATCATCTCCGTGAAGAGCGACTTGTTGACCAGGTCAGAAGGTCTGTCCTGAGACAGAGGAAGCAGCGGACTGCCACTCAAGCCACACAGGGGGGCGCCAGCGCTCAGGAAGTAGAAAGGCACGTGGGTGATTCTCCCAGTGGACCAACACTAAGAACAGAGAGGGGCAAACATTAGGGGGGGGGGCCACAGGGGAGGAAAAGATGTACATTAAAACAAACCAACTTTGGAATAAGAAAAAGAAAAAAACACACACACATAAAAACAAATATTTCCAGCTAATTTAAACAAGTAAAGTTGACACAAACCTTAATTAAGAATATGGTAAAATAAGAACGTTCATTTGTAGCAGACAGTGATATTTGAATGTAAATGACTGACCACAGTGAGTAAAGCTCCGTGCTGGAAGTTTGGGTGAAACTGCATCAGTCTGGGCTCGGCCTCAGGTTCCCCTTGAACGAATCCACTGAACGAAGCAAAAGAGAAAAATAATCATTACACACTGACAGGTAGGAGACTCCACCTCTGACCTCTTTTACACTTGGAGAGAAGTGGTTCTCAAACAATGGTATGCCTCCCTCTAGTGGTACTTGGGCTGCCTCTAGTGGTATGGAGGTGGGTCAGATTCTTATTGAATTATATATATTTCTTTATGTGCTAGTCTTAACCTAAGAGTGGACCACATTTTTTTCTATACAGACACTTCAGGGGGTCGGACACTCAGATTTGTATCCAACATTATTATTTAATGTAATTTAATCAGTCGTGGACCGTGAGACGCCAGTTGATATAGGAGGTGAAGCATGTAGAGACAAATACTAATACAGTAGGAGAGTTAAAATACACAGAAGTACCCACCATGGCAAAAGCTCAAAAATGGGACTGGTCCTAGTCCTGAACACAGCTATGATGGCCAGCTGGTCCGACGACTCTGGATCACCTGACGGAAAATATGATTAAAACAGACAAAAGTGGAGGTTAAGATTAATTAATGGACTCTCTAAACTCAATATAACACTGTTCAAATAATGACAACAAACCTTTGAGAAGCACAGCGAGCCTCTCCCCTCTTGGATCCCAGACCAGGGACTGGATCTCTCCACCAACACTGGCAAATAATCAGACACCAACGAGAGAAACTTTCAGAATCCAACACAAAAATACACACAATTCAAGAATATCACAGTCATTTATATTAAAATCAGTATCACAGTGTATGGAAGTCATTGCATTCCATTGGCTAAAAAAAATACGTAATTTTAACTAGCTACGTAGGATTAGGACCTTACACAACGTCTCCATCTGGTGTGCTAAAGGTCGTCTCTGATAGGTCGGCCACCACAGATGCCGCCTGTGGCCCCTGAGATGTGCTGGAGGAGATACCTGCAGAACAACAAGGAGAATGGTCCCAGGTGTTAGATCTTTTTTTGTTTTTTTTGAAGACCACCGTGGCTGCTGGTTTGGTCTAAAGACGGAGACTTGAACCTGGTGAGTCTGTGAAAGTCAGAGCGTAGACGACTTTCTCGCCCTGCACGGTGAAGAGGAGTCGACTGCCGTCTGGACTCCAACATCCAGACTGTTCAAGGCAAAACACAAACAAAAGACAGATTATTTATACAGCACTCACAGATTTACTGCTCAAAACTGCAGTACTGCAGAGACCTGGAGCCTGGAGCTGAGGACACACTACGACATTTTTAGGAGGTCATAAAAGAAAGGCAGAAACAGAGAGGTCGTGTTTCCTTAGATTTTGAAGTAAACAGATGGAAAATAAAAGTGTCCAGAAATTCATCTTTATGGAACGCTGAAGGAGAGGCGTTTTTCACAGACACCAAATCACAGTTCAAGAACACAGAAATGAAGTTTATTCACTGTGGCACAATATCAAACTTTATTTATATTTTGTTTTGCCTTGCTGACACCAGTCTGTCTGTATGTGTGTGTATACTCCAAGTCTTTCCAGAAGGTGTAAAGTTCTTACATGGCAGCGCCCTTTCACACATGGCCACCGTTCACACGTCCACATCCTGGTCTCCCAGACTCTAGAGACATAAATGTCACTCGTTACCTTTGTACTTACTTTTGTCCACAAATTTTTTATACCACACAGCTGACATGTTGACAACAAACAATCTTAATAATTCATGAACCCTTAGTCCCTCTCTGTTAGGGTGAGATGAATAAATCCACCAAAAAAACCAAACAAAAAAAAAAACAGCTGATACTTCATAACTCTAGCGTTGTGAATCCAAATGTACTCTCCCACTCACTTATACTCAAATGTCTCCTAAGCCTATTAGCTGAAATGTGTTATTACAAAAGGCATGTGATTAAGAAACGGGAGCTTGATTGCTATGGGAGTCACAGCCGTAGACTTATGAATACCACAATACTCCAGAAACACATAATGGGTCGTCCTCAGTCACTTCACGTCACACACTGGTACAGTTTGGTCTCTGCAGCTCAACAGGGACACAGGAAGTCCAATCTCTGACACCCGTTTAATTGAATGATCCCAAGATCCTTGGCATACGTGGCTGTGCGCGCACACGCACACACACACACACAACCCCCATCCTGCTGTTAATTCTGCCCCCGGTGTAAAAGGCGAAGTTAATGATTGCAATAAACCCTGCTGAGGTGGAGGCAAGTTCTGCTGATCCCATAGATTCCTGCAAATTGCCCGGAGTTAATTATTGAGCTGCATATACATTTAATAAGCTTTCCTCAATTTGTTTTTTACCCTTTACGATGCTGTGTCATGTCAAAGATGATGGGCTGAAATAAAGAGGGGGCAGGAGGGTAGACATAGAGGAGGCTCCACCGTTTCTCTGCAGACGGGGCTTCAGTGTGGGTGTGGGGGCAAAAAAAAAAAAAAAAAAAAAGAAGACAAGGATTAATTAAAGAAAAGATCTGAAAGAGCCATCTGGCAGTGAGGAGTGTAGAATAGATTTGGTTTTTATTTAGATACAGAGAGAGAGAATGCTGTTCTAAAAGAAAGAATCCAAATGATGGTTTTAAAATAAAATACTGCACATATACAGTATATGGTCTGCACAATTTAATTGTTCCTGAGAGGAAAGAGGGGCAATTAGGACCAAGACAGGGCAATCACAAATACATACATCCACACTTCAAGAGTACAGGTATGTGCAGAACATGATAAATATGTCAGTACAACAATGTTATATAAAGGATAAACACATACACATATATATATTTATGTGTGTGTGAATTTATACACAGTGTTAATTTGTGCAGCAAATGTAATGAAGCTGAGCCTTGTTTGAATGATGGATAGTGTTGACTGTATTCCATGAGCTGTCGTTCGTGGTAACAGTTCTTTCCATGCTTTAATTTACCTTTTGGGGTTGTAAATCTTAATGGAGTCGTCCAGGAGGGCTACGGCAAATTTGTCTGCGTGAGGATGCCAAGCGAAGGCTCGCACCACACAGTCAGTCCTGTTTACAGAGAGACAAAAAACATTCTCACTTAAACACTGGAGTGAAACGTTGAAGAGTTAAATGCAAATGTTAGCATGAAAATTGTCTTGTGAAAAGTCACAAAGATAATTCTAATTTGTCACCAGAGATTTCTTCACTGACCAGTTCAGTACTTGTGAGAACTCTGCGATCATGTCTTCGCTGCTTAACTGTAAAAAAAAAAAGAACAGAAATAACAATGATACAGAACACCCAAAACAACACCAATCAGTTAATCAACAACGGTTTATGAAGCAACAACATCCCAAAAGAAACCCAAGTGCTTTATAGTCAGTTAAATTGAATTAAACAGGAACAAATGGTAAGATAAAATAAAATGTAAAAAACACGGGGGAAAAAACCACAATACACACACTGAAGCAGAATAAGGAAACAACAAACAACATAATTAAAGCAAAATACAGGCAAAAAACACAATCGGCACGTGAAATATACTGTCAGCAAAACAAGCAGGAAGTTCTTACAGTGAGATGTGGAAACAAGGAGCTGTGAAAAGACGAGACCCATCGCAGCAACGCCAGGCTGAAACCACAGCCCACAGAGAGCCATTTAGGGGCTGAGGAAGGAAAAACACAAAATGGTTATTGGTCATGAAAACCATCAAGTACTGCATGGAGTACTTGAAAAGTAACACAGCTGAGAGGAAATGGGTGAAATACCGGGGTGTCACATACCCTCTGCTTTTGAGTTGGTAATTTCCGTGAGCAAACCTGTAAAAGCACCGTCCCTCCTGGACAGAAAGAGACACGAGGATCGGTTAAACTCATGTCTGTGACACTCTGGGATTATTGTAGGATGTAGCAGTGCACTTTTATTATGTCACATTCTCAAGTGGCTTTCATTAAACTACATAACAGGACCACCTTGTACAGTAAAGAAATTATTATTTAGGCACAGGTTCCAATACAAATAGTGCCCTGTTTTTGATGATTGTGTGGAATAAGATATTACAGCAATCATAGCAAACACAATAAAATCACTCTAATATCTACATTTAACAGACTTTTTCACTTTGATGTACATTTGGCCTATTTTTCAAATAAGACAAAAACATATACAATGTACACAAATGCTGTTTGTAAACAGTATTATCACATGATGTATTCATATTAAGTGTTGTTTAAAAGGTTTAAATTTCCCCTGAAGAAAAAAAATAACAATCCAGTCCAGTGTGGCAGACGTTGTTGCACTGTATCTAACCAATGCCATGTTTTAAAGCTGTGTTTCATACCAGGCTGCTGCACTCCTCATCCACAGTGTCTCTGAATGGTCCAGAAACGCTGCTTTGCTGCTGCTTTCTGTGCGACTGTGGAGTTTTAGAGACTCTCGGGGGAAATATAGGGTCAGGTGACTGGACTCCTGCAGGAAAAACAACACAAGGCGTATTTGAATGCAGTACATGGATATGAAAATCCTTCAGATTTTAGTACATGGGTGGTTTTGGCCTTCTTTGGGGACACAGATGTTTGAGGAATAAAACTTAACAAATAATACCATATGAGTTACTAAAATACACACTAAAGCTGTAAAGAATAACATATTCAGTTTCAATTGATTTTGTTATTACAGGTTATAATGTCGAACTAAAAAGTATTGTTGAACAGAGAGTTTGCCAATGAAAAGGCTATCACTTTAGTGGTAAAAAAGTTCAAGGACATGAAAAGGCTATCACTTTAGTGGTAAACAAGTTCAAGGACTTTAATAAAGTAGCTCCAATGTGTTTAAGTTTGGTCGAGCCTGTACAAGATAGATTGACAAAACAATAATTAATATGAACACGACTGGAAACCAAGTACATGTGGCTGAATACAGCAGTTTACCGACCTGTTTGGACCGATCCTCGGTGCTCGTTCCGGACAATAGCTCGTTGTTGGATTCGCACAAGGTGCTCTCTCCGTAAGGCAACGGAGGAGGAAACAACGCCAAAGAGCACATCGCCATGCTGTTTAACTTAGGTAGAAAAGAAAAACAGAATAAAAAAAAGTATTTTAAACGACTCGCGTTCTCTCAAACCCTGTTGTGGCCACTGGGGGTTAGCAAGCTATGTCCTACTGTTACCGGCTCAAGTTAGCTAGCTAGCCAGCTAGTTAGCTAGCTAGCTTAGTTCAATACTTTAAATTCGCTTATTGTTCTTCGTTTTAATGTTAAAAAATAAACAACCAAACACAATAACCTTACTCTCTGTGTGACTAAGTGTGCGAAGTGTCACTCGCTGTATTCGAACCAGTTCGAGTCACGTCACAACGCCGCGACAGAGTTAGTTCTGAGAGTTCAGGCAGTCCCGCCGTCTGAGCTGCTACGGCGAGCGAGATGGACAAACTACATCCGGCTGCGCTTTTTTGGTGTTCAACCGCTTCATTGATAAAATGTTACAGTTACCTTTTAGTTGTGGTAACTATTTCAGTTAAATGTTTGAATCACGATCACATTTAATGTTTTGTATGTTAGACAGAAATGTATAAACAGTTATTTATATATTATTAGGTGCATAACAAATGTGAAATAAATGACTGGTGTTTTATTTTACATACTGCTTTATATAAACCTTAATACAGGCATTAAACCAGATGTTACATGTGTGTATATAATAAATCCTCTTTTCGTATGGCTGAGATTTATTTAATACTCTGAATGTAGACACTGACACACATCTGAAGTGCTAAAATCATGATTGTTTTATTTAATTTATTTTTTTGGTTTTGTTTTTGAGGGTTTTTTTATATTCGTTGTTTAACGATAATAGAGTTACTTACTCTTTCACCAGATAATTAAAGGTCAGGGTCTTCTCAGGGATTTACAAAATTGCTACAAACAGCATGAGGTTTACTAAAATAGATTTTAAAACTTTAAATTTTAAAATGTATTTTTCTAGTATTCAATTTATGGACATCAGTGATAACGTAATCAAGAACAGTAATGCTAAATAATGACCTATTTATTAGGACCATAGCATTAACCAAAACTATGAATTAACATATCTATATGCACATAATAAAGACATCCCTACATTGTCCTTAACAGGAATGGATGATCAGTTTAGAGTGATCCAAATGTATTTTTTTAATCTATACAATGAATTAATTAAAAACATCTCAGAATAAAACGTGACTGTTAGAATATAGGGAACAAATTTGACCTTGCTATTTATTATTAATAATTGTGAAACAAGGTTGTGTCAGGATAAATATTTTGACCTCAAATGTAGTTTTTGCTCAAGGGTACGTCACTGTAGATCTTGGTTATGTAGAATCCAGTCTGGAAATGAACGGAAACAGAAACGGCGAGTTTCACACGTCGAAAAAACACATGAGATTATATTAATAGTAATAACATTGTTTGTGTGTTTGTACGTGTGCGTGCGTGCGCGCGCGCGTGTTTCCTTGTGACAATGTCTTTGCAGAGGTTTGCTGTAGCGCCCTCACGCGGCGCTACTCACATTTCCGTGACGTCAATTCAGCACTGGGAAAGAGACAGCTCCTTCCCCCAAAAAGCCCAGCGAGCTTCACGTTGCATGGGGGCCCGGGCATCGATGAGAGGAATCGGCCGCTGGGATCTGTCCCAGTAAGGTGAAAGCTGGTGGATGTAGCGAGTGGAGGACGGAAGGAGGCAGGAGGTGAAGAGCGAGAGGAGTGCAGCGATTGTCTCCGCGATCATCGCAGACAAACAGAAAGCTGAGCCCGACCCTTCACTTGACAACGCGGCATCATCCAGGCAGAAAGGTATGGGAATGTCACACGGCTCGGATAAATGCCGTATTAAATAAGACAACAGTCCCGATCCCAGCGCAGCCAGGTAGGAAGGAGATGTGATGCCGCCGCTGGTCGCGGTCGCGTCCGCGCCGCTACCAGTCCACTGCACCAACGAACCGAGGCTGCCAGGGAGCGAGTAACCTTCGACGGATGCTGGAAAAATCACATTTTCTGTGCAGCCACAGAGCCCACGGTGTGAAATATCTGCGCGGACGCCAGCGTTGAGTACATGTAGAGACGCTGCGGCAGTTTGACTTGGCAGCGGCCGCGGCGCAGGCACCAGGCTCCGTGCACGTCGGCAGAGATGCTGCTGCTGCTGCTGCTGAGTGTCATCGTCCATACCTCGGTTATTTAAAGATAGGTCTTCGTGCCTGTGTGTGTGTGCGCGTGTGTTCGCGCGCGCGTGCATATGTATATATGTTTGTAATGCTTTCGCGCACAGGCCCCGGTGATCGTTTATTGCCCCGTTTACCCCCACACGGTCTTATTTCTCTTATCGGTCGCGTTTCTTCTCATGCAGCGCTGCAGTAACTGGAACACTGAGCCTTCTGGGCTAAATATATATAAATATATATATATATATGCATATATATATTTATATACATGTGTGTGTGTATTTAAATGTATATGTGGAGTCCAGGAGACGGCAGTGCTAAAGTATCTGTGCCCATATATTTACACCATGCAATATACACACAGACATACATATATACATATATGTCAATATATATTTACTATTTTTAATAACCACCCACCCGTCAAACCCACGGCGCTCAGACATACAGTAGGTTCACATCTACCATGAAGTGGGTTCGTGGTTATGCAATTCCTCGTGTTCTTCTTCAGATGCCACTGGAGTCACTGCTGCGTTGGGTTTTTTTTAAAGGTGGACATTTGAAGAACAGGTGACGGTCCTGGACTGTGGTGAATCGTAACAAACTCCTCCTGTGGGTTCATTCATAAAGCCAGTCTCCACCGTGGGTGATGGCTCCACGGGGGCAGGCCGTTCATTCACACACACACACACACACACACACACACGGCTCTTCTTTTGGCTTTGCTGCATGATTCAGACTGATTCTTTTTTTTTTTTTTGGTGAAGGAGTTGAGTAGAGGAGTCAGAGTGGTGCCTCTGTGGGATGGGGGGGGGGGGGGGGGGGGGTGTGACGGGTGGCTAACAGCCCAACCTACTGCATGATTTTCATCAGTGTTGTTGTTGTTCTTAGAAAGATTTAAGGAAGTCACTAAAGCTGCGTTCACATTGTCAGCAATATATATTTCTTAAATTTATTTTGGATCAGATGTTACTGGTCAGATTAGTAGTAGTGCATCTGAGAAAACTGCACTGACAAACACAGTGTTGAAAAGAAGAAGAAGAGTTGGGGAAAAAAAAGTCACATCACAAACGGAAGAAGAGTTGGGAAAAAAAAGTCACATCACAAATAAACATGTGAACTGACGGCAGTCATTTCAGCACCGGACAGCTCCGCGTGTGAAGCGGTGCTGTCCGATAATGGGATTGTCCTGAGCCTATGTTTGTTTTTGATTCAAAGTAAACGTAGTAATACTTCTGCATCTGACATTTCCTCCTCCCCCCGGCTCCCAGGTCTACTTGTCATCTTCTCATCCTTCATCCACCCCAAACCTGCTGTGTTGGGGAAACCCCTGATGAGTGGGACCTGTATCCATGAGCCCCACGCCCCTTCCCCCTCCCTGTCAGGCTTCAGCACCCCCATCTCAGAAACCCCCTATCGAAGACTCGATGGAGACACCCCCGCCTGCACACCCGAAACGGACCTGACCCCCACACAGTGCGTCCTGCGCAACGTGCTATCCATCGACACCGGTGGACCGGGAGCGCCCGCTGGAGGCAGCCCCACCCCCAGCGATGGACCCACAGCCCACTTTGACAACAGCGTGCTAAAGCTGCATGAACATGAGGCGTGTCAGTGTGGGGGCGGGGCCGAGGCCGGGCACAGCCCCGAGGCCGGAGCGGTCCGGGGCCAGTCGGAGAACATCCGGCTACAATCGGGAAGTGGAGGATTTTTGGAGGGACTGTTTGGCTGCTTGAAACCGGTTTGGACCATGATCGGAAAGGCCTACTCCACGGAACACAAGCATAGCCAAGAAGGTAGGTCCACACTTCACTCCTTAAGTTCTGTAGATGCAGCGTGGCACAAGCATAGCCAAGAAGGTAGGTCCAGACTTCACTCCTTAAGTTCTGTATCTGTAGATGTAGCGTGAAAACAAACAGAGAAAGTTTTGAACAAATTACAGGTAGCTTAATACAAAAAGGAATGGATGGATGGATGGATGGATGGATGGATGGATGGATGGATGGATGGATGGATGGATGGATGGATGGATGGATGGATGGATGGATGGATGGATGGATGGATGGATGGATGGATGGATGGATGGATGGATGGATGGATGGATGGATGGATGGATGGATGGCTGGATAAAACTGTGAAGGAAATGTGGATGCCGACCAAACAAAGAAACACAGTTAAAGTTATAAAACTGTTTGTCAAAAACTGGAGCAAGTAAAAACTACTACTGTGAATATCAATAATGGTAGTAGTAGTTGTAGCAGTAAGTGATGGTAGTGATAGTAGTACTAGTAGTAGAAGGTCATTGCACCTTCATGGCCATGAGAGATCAACCACAGAAGAGAAGAGTTCTGAGCAGATCTGAAGAACTAACGTTTGTTGTTCAGAGAAAAAAATATCACACACCTGGGTCGACACACTGTGAAGATATGATGAGAGATTTATCGTCACCTGTTCTCTGTGGCACGAGTCCCGGTCATTAAAAATTAAAACATATTTTACACTGCACACTCCTCCAGTCTGGGCTCCTGGGCCAAAAAGTTGTCAATCACCTGTAAACAGCACATGTTAAACAGGTGATGTAGCAGCAGGAGTCGGATTCATCAAGGTCCAAGTTTACAAGGCAACATATTGACTACAAATACTGGACTAAAAAGTTGGTTGATAGAGTGAAACGCTGCGTGCGTCAACATCCACTCACTGCTCGTCTTCTCCTCCTGCCTCCAGAATCCTGGGAGGTTCCGTTTGAGGAAATCTCAGACCTACAGTGGGTGGGCAGCGGGGCTCAGGGAGCCGTCTTCCTCGGAAAGTTCCACGGTGAAGAGGTGGCTGTGAAGAAAGTGCGTGACATCAAAGAGACGGAGATCAAACACCTTCGCAAACTCAAGCATCCCAACATCATCACTTTCAAGTAAGAAAAAAAAAAAAATCTCCTTCAGTCGGAGATATCAACATCCTGATCTTTCATGATGCGTTTCCTTTTCCTCTTCATGCCACATTTCCTGTTCTCTAGGGGTGTGTGTACCCAGGCTCCTTGTTACTGTATCTTGATGGAATACTGCGCCCAAGGCCAACTGTACGAGGTGCTGAGGGCGGGCCGGAAAATCACTCCCTCCCTCCTGGTGGACTGGTCCATGGGCATTGCAGGAGGCATGAACTACCTTCACCTTCACAAAATCATACACCGAGACCTCAAGTCCCCGAAGTACGTCTGCCTGAAAGTTAAAAACACAGTCTTGATTATTGAAACGTGAAGTTCTCATGATCTCCATTTGATTCCAGCATGTTGATCACACACGACGACCTGGTGAAGATCTCTGATTTCGGCACCTCCAAGGAGCTCAGCGACAAGAGCACTAAAATGTCATTTGCCGGCACCGTGGCCTGGATGGCTCCTGAGGTGATCCGGAACGAGCCGGTTTCAGAGAAAGTGGACATCTGGTAAGTTCCTGGTACCTGCTCGGAAAAGTTTGAAAACTTCTAATAAAAGTTTAAACATCATGGAGCACATGTGTCAAACTCTGGCCCGGGGGCCAAATCTGGCCTGTAGTGTAAATTATGTTTGGACCGCGAGATCACAGCGCCATGTTATAGCACATAGATTGTGGGGTTTTTTGTTGTTGGTCTATGAAAAGAAAATTTACATTAAAAAGAAGCTGGAAAGGCTACAGATAAAGAGACAAAATAAGAAACAAATGTCCCAGTTTTAAATTTTGACCAACTGTGAATTTGAGTTTGACACCCCTGTCATAGAGTTACTCAAAGAGACTGGAATGTCTTTTCCTCTCAAAGGTCCTTTGGCGTGGTGCTCTGGGAGATGCTAACTGGGGAGATCCCTTACAGAGACGTGGACTCGTCAGCCATTATCTGGGGTGTGGGGAACAACAGTCTGCAGCTGCCCATACCAGAGAGCTGTCCTGACGGCTTCAAGATCCTCCTCAGACAGTGTTGGTGAGCATAAGTCACAGGAAGTGTGTGATGGACGGTTGGAACGGTGGTACGGAACTTCATCAACGCTTGATTCTTTTTTCCAGGAATTGCAAGCCTCGGAATCGGCCGTCTTTCCGACAGATCCTTCTTCATCTGGACATAGCATCAGCTGATGTCATGTCCACTCCTCAAGAGACGTACTTCAAGTCTCAGGTACCAATCATTTAGTACTGAATACTGTGAATGTACACGCACTCACAGTAAGCAAAAAAGGAAGAGCTCTTAAAGGGGACACTGAATGGTAGTTACATGCTTTGGTGCCACCTGTCTCCCCCTAGTGTTCTTATAGATGACGTGCCCCAAATGTTTAGCTGCTGTTCATTTAGCTCGGTGCTAAATTAAACAGTTGTGTTAGCTTTGGCGGTCCAACAGTCGGGTATGAGTAAAACAACTGGACGATCCTCAAACAGGAAGGAGGGGTGATGGGGTGGAGCCACTCAGCGCTGGACATCACTTCTCTGTGATGTCAGACTCACCAGAGACATGTGAACAACATGTGAAGAAAACAATTTCACATAAATGTCCCCTTAAAGGTCAACTCCATCTAGGGAGCGTTGGTAAAAAGACATCTTTTTTTCCGATCAGGCCGAGTGGCGAGAAGAAGTCAAACAGCACTTTGAGAAGATCAAATCCGAGGGGACCTGTATCCACCGACTGGACGAGGAACTCATCAACCGACGCAGGGAGGAGCTGAGGTGGGTTTGATCTGATGTGTCGCGTTTATTCAGACTGAGGGAGATTCTCTCTGTCTCTGGTTCTGCTCAGGGTCCCCCTTGTGTTTGCCCTTGTGGGTGAAATCAGTGCTTTGAGTGCGTGCACACTGTAGAGAAGGTGGATTCTGTCAAGCACGTGCACAGTGACATCAGCAGCCTGTTTTTTTTTTTTTTCACAGGCATGCTTTTTGGACATCCGTGAGCATTACGAGAGGAAACTGGAGAGAGCCAACAACCTGTACATGGAGCTCAGCGCTGTCATGCTGCAGCTGGAGCTCAAAGAGAAAGAGCTGCAGAGGTAGGAATAAACACGGGTGTATTTTAGTAAAGTGCTGACATTCTTCACAACATAATAAGTCACGCTGCGTTACACTGGGTGCCCAGGAGAGAACAGTCTTTGGATAAGAAGTACCCGGGTTTGTTCAAGCACCACAGCTCCAGACAGAGCAGCTCCTCCAACACCGTGGACAAACTCATCAAGAAGAGAAACGTCCCACAGAAATTGCCGTCAGGAAAAAGGTGACAAAACAAATTTCTGTGATTAATGAAATCAAAACTTTGATGCAGAACATGCCTTCTTATCCTACTGTGCTCTGTGCTGGTGAAGTAAACAGTCCTCCCTCCTCTCCCATTTATTTAGGCCAGACATTCTCAAGTCTGAGGTAATCATTCCAAAAATGGATCCCTCTGTAATGCAAGTCACCATCCCAGGCTGCCCCAACAAAAGCTCCACTTCACCTAACCGGTCCCGCAGGGTAAAGACCCGCCACCGCAAGCCTGGGAAGGGCAGCAGTGGGGATTTGGCTGGACTTAAGGCAAATCAGTCCTCGTCTAACAGGGACGCCACTGCCCAGGCCAACAGCTCCAACACCAACACCTCCAGGCAGCATCTGGAGCCCTCTGCCGCTCTGCGGGGCCTCAGCCACGAGCAGCAGCAACGGCAGCTCTCCTCCTCTAGCCCTGACCTCATCTGCACCACGCTGGAGGCAGAGGCCCAGGGAAAAAGAGAGACATTGGTGGGTGGCCTGGAGAGAGGGGGGAGCCTCAGCGCCTCCGCAGGCTTAGGGGGCGCCGAGGTGGGTGCAGCCGGCCTGGATGACCTCACAGAAACTCCTCCCCGCAGTGACACACCCAGTGAGGACGCTGCTTCGTTTCCATTTTCCAGCAGCCCAGACTCTCCGTGCGGAAAGGGAGCGGCGGGAGGACGTGGATCCCTGGGATCTCCACGTCTGCCACACGATGGCGACGACAAAGAGGAAGGAGCCGGGGCTGTCAGGTTGCCCCGTGGGGCATCAGGGGGAATTGGGAGTCAGCACCTTACACCTTCAGCTATTTTATACAGGGCAGCTATCACACGTAAACAGGTACAGTGACGGGTACAGTACGTGTGTTTGTACTTCTGTGTACTCTTCTGAGAGCGCTCTGAATGTGCGTTTTCCTCTTCTGACTACAGAGGCGTGGAGTGTCATCAGAGGAGGAGGAGGGCGAAGTCGACAGTGAGGTGGAGTTACCAAGGAGACGGTGAGTAACTTGACGTCTTTTGTCAATCTCGAAAATTCCCTCGAGCCACTTTTCCTTTCCGACAAGTTTCTGAGTCAAAAAAAAATAAAATTATTTCCAATCTGCGTCAGTCTTCCGTACTGTCGGTCCTGTAATTTAAAGAAGTGACGGTTCCTCTCCCCAGAAGACCGACCAGCATCACCAAGTGCCAGTCTGTGTCTACGTTCAGCTCCGAGAACCTGTCGGTGTCAGACGGCGAGGAGGGCCACACCACGGACCACTCTCACAGCGGGACTCCAGACGTGGTCAGCACCAATACTGACGACAGGTTAGACGATCGCAGCGACGACCTCCTGTCTCAAGGCTCCGAGATCCCAGCAGACAACACAGACCCCGCACAGGCCTCTGACGGTCTGTCAGAGAGAGAAGGAGCCCTGGGGCAGGCAAAGGCCCAGGTGGAGCCTGGACAGAACCCTAATGAGGTAACGCAGATCCACAGGAGATCACGTGTGTCAGCACGTCATCGTCATACACTGGTGTGAAAGTACTGACGTGGAATCAGGCCAGGTTTTAGACCTGAGAGTGTGTGACAGTTTAATGATTGACGTGGAATCAGGCCAGGTTTTAGACCTTAGACCTGACAGTTTAATGATCGAAAAATATTTAATCACAGAGAAGCTGTGGTTGAATCATGAGCTATTATCATTAATCACAATCAAAAACATGATTAATATTAATTAATCATGTCTCATCATAAATAATCAGATAAATCAACATTCTAAAATACAAAAAAAAAATTGTTTTTGTCTGTGACTGACCCAAATGATGGAATTAATAATCTGGAAAAATGTCAGGAAACATGTCTCCAGATCCAGGTGTTTCTGTGAAACCAAAACTTTTTCCCACAGTGTGTGCAAATGACAGCTTGGATGGATGGATCAGCGCAACATTAGGTGCATGGATGGTGGAAGAATTTGATATACAGTGAACATCAGTCTTTGTATGCATTCAAATCTAATTAACTTCACAAATTAAACATTATTAACGAGTTCATTTCAGCCCTAAACATAAAACTTTCGTCCGACTCCGACCACCACCGTCTCACCGACTCTTTCTCACCTGCTCTGTTTAGAGTCGAGCCCTGTGTGACGACTCTGACTGCGACAGCGCCGAGTTGGACCAGTCTGGGAGCGGAGAGCCCAGCCGCCCCCCCAGTGCTGGAGCATGGGCCCCCCCATCACAGTCCTCTCACGGCTCTCCTCATATAGGACCTGCGTAGATCGGCGGACATCAAGAAAGACATCATGTGACCCAACAGTAACAGTCCCCACTGACACACCAACCTGTCGGTGCGGTACATTACTGTCGTCACCACAGATCACTCCAACTGCACCCCTCAGACTACGATCCTTCGGTATCTCCTACGTTTGTCGGCCGGCAGACCTACATCAGACGACATAGGGCATTTGTCATAACCTGGCATCCGATATTTGGGCAGCTTCTGACATCCAGTCGATGTCATTTCCGTTCTGTAGGGTTGTTTTTAGGCAAAATGGCTACAGTGGCGACCTCGGCCACTGCTGCGGGTCAGCAAAAACTGTCACAGACGCACACACCAGAAGATACCACACCTGTAGTCCTTTAAACACTCTAACCCTCACTCTGGGAGGAGCCTCCTCACCGGTACTCCTCACACACTAATGCATCGAAATACTAATAAATATTAGTGTAAATACTCATTACATGCCACATGAGAAATATCTAACTTTATTTTATTTGTAAGATAAAATGTAAGACTAAACAATATGCAGCCCTGTGAACAATGCATGACTACATGTCTATAATTTATAGTTTGGATGTGTCCGTTTTATATTTTGTGAAGGTTTACACTTTTTTAATCTTGAAAGTATTACCTGAGTTATTTTCATTTTGTTAATAAATGTCAACACTCCAGAAAAAAAATGTTTAAAAAAAAAAGGTTAAAAAATGGAATGAAAATCTCACCAGAACATGATGCATTATTAGGGTTCTTAATAGGTGATATATTTTTTTTAACCTCCTACCATTGGGTTTCACATACACGTTAGAACACGATGAGGTTTTTATTAAGCTGATCTGGTTATTGACAGAGACTAACGAGGCGATATTTAGGGACGTAAACGCCACGGTTCCATTCGTTTATCGATGTTAATATCATGGTTTGGTACATTTTTTGGTAACCAAAGAAATGAAGGGAGACATAAATAAGTTTTGTTTTTTATTAACAAATGGCGAAATGGCAAATACTGAGGTTCTCGAACAAAAACAAAACACTCTGCTAACTAACATAAAGTTGCTGAAAGTAGCGGGAAGACTTACGCGAGCTGCGATTGGTCCAGTCATAATTGTGTTCCGGCGGGGGACTATATTGACTTTTGTTCCGCTCTGCATTTCCACTGTACGAAGCCCCGCCTAAAGGTGGAGGAAGGAAGGAAAAAACAAATAAATAAATGTTTGCTCACATGTTAGTTTCAGGTGAGCACCAGAAAACGTTTATTTTCCTCCCATGTTGACCGAATTTGTTCGAAAAGTACCCGTGTATCTGTAGCGAACGGTCCGCTGTGAACACACGTAGGCCCATGTTAAAATGTCGATAGACAAGACTTTCACCCTGGTTAAATGACGAATCTAAGCCCAAAACCACTTGTACGGTAATTGTAGAAAATTCTAGAATGTTACAATACCTCGGAGATTGGCCCGTTGTTACATCAACCCCTGTAAAAAATGCTTTCGAATAGAACGTCACTCCCTCCGTGAATGTCCACCCAACCACAGGTCTGGTACTAGACTGTTAGTTTTATATGGGTGCACGGACTGGACTGTACTGCTGTCAGCTGATGTCTGTGAAATACATTTTTAAAGTGTGTTGTTCGTGGAAACAACTCCAATTTGGCCGCAGCTGCTTTTGTATATCAGGAATCTCACTTTGCACTGAGTCACTTCCGGATTACTTTGGTCCGTCTTTGGTTAAAACCCGGTGCTCGCGTCACAGTTCCACATGTTCCGCCGCAGGAACCACTCATTGAGCTGTATTTGAAATCCCCCCCAAATAGATGTTGACGTGTCACACAAAAGGACGCCCTCTACAGTGAGTCGCGGGCGGTGCTGAGGGGCTTCATAAAAACCTCACCTGTAACTTTGACCCTTTAATAGACCCTAGACCTGCAGGAGTAGCCGGGTAAGGAATAGTGCACTTCTTTGTGGTGGTTACTAGTGCAACAGTAAGTATCCTTTGGGTTTGAATAGAAATGTTTTGTTTTTATACAGCATTGCACATTGTACTTGTAAGATAGGAGTTATATCGAAAGTAAAATATTATGAGCAACAATAAATAATGTATTGGTTTAAAAAAAAGAAAAAAAAAGAAATCCAACTGAAGATGTTTGTTTAAGACGACGGGCCACGTTAGAGCTGCGGTTTGTGCTGTTGCCGTGTCACGTGATCAGACAGCTGAATGAGAAATAAATGACTATTTTCAATGACTTTAAGCATGTTCAAACTGACCTGTGGCATTCATTGACTCGACACCTGCAGGGTATTTGATTTTCATAGGGCGATTCAAAAATTTAATCCGGTTAATGACAGGTTAGCTGTGGATTAACCTCGATTAATCATGATTATTCAACATATCTAAATATGACAAAACAAATTCCTGTATTTTCCAGATACAGAATATAATTAACAGCATATATATGTACATATATAATTGCATATATGTATATATATATAATAATTACATATAATCCACATTTGTTAAAGGGGTAATTTGTAAACTTTTATTTACATGGACATAAATTGTTCATTGACCTTTAGGTCGGGTCATGCAGAATAATCCATTCATTATAAATACAGACCAATTCTTTCAAACAAATTTATACAAGACAACCTTATTACACTGTGTTATGTCAATTTAATGGCACCATAAAATATAATTAGGCTGCAGGCTTAACGATAGAAGACAGACTGCAGCTGTGTTTACCAACGCTGTCATAGATATAACCAACTAATCCAAAATAGCTTTTTTAAAAAGGAAGAAAAAGGCCACACAAAGTAATTGACCAAAGAATAAACTTCTTTCTTTTTTTTTACAAAATGACAATAATTAAAGCATTTAAGATCATTTTATTTCTGCATTTCATTTAAACAATTTAATTGCACCCCAATCTACAATATTTGGAAAAACGTGCACAAAAAAATGTGAGTTTCTTCATCCTGCAAAGAATAATAATAAAAAATAAAATCTGACCCAGGCAAGAAAAAGGATAGCAGGAAACTAGTGTTAATTCTATAGTTCTCCTTCTAGTTCGTCATAATTTAATACCGTAGCATAATATACTTATAAAGACCAATGTCTGCTTGATTTGCCCCTCTGCAGCATTCCCCAGCCCTGAAGTTAAAAAAAATATTTTCTCTATTTAAAACAAACAATTCATTGTTATCGTCTCTCTCCTCGTTCCAAGGGTCTTAGTAACGTCAGAGAAAGGAAAATATTTTCCTCTGGATCAGGCCCACTCCTCCTCCTCCTCCTAACCCAGCCCCTGCCCCTGCCCCCCCCCACCCAGTCAGTCAATATCCAATATACAATTATGCCCTGATCAGGAAATAAAAACGGATGGAAACTCAGGAATGACACAAACGACCTAAAAATCAGAGGCGAGACGACGATTAGCTTAAAGTTCCCACTCGACCTGGGAACATTTTCCTTCTGACTGAAGGAAGGCTCCTCCTGGAAAATGTCCCAAACCAGGGATTCCGTTCCCACCCACTGAAACATGTTCAATCCCACAACTCAATTCGTTCAAAACAGAAGATGTCAAACACATCAATGACTTCTACTCTGACAACCAACTGTGTATTAAATAAAAATAAATAGATATTAAAGAAGAAAATTCAAGAACAGTCCGTCTATAATGTTATGGTGATTTTTTTTTCTTCATTTTTTTTATATTTTCTAAGAAAAATCTGACATAAGAAAAAACATTATTATGTCTCTGCAGATTTTTCTAAAAATTGTTTTTTTTTTTCATCTCAGAAAAATCATACAAACAAAATAAAAAGTAAAACATACATCCGGAGCAAGGCTTTTAAAAACTTAACGCAACTGGGATTTAAAAATAATAAATAAATAAAATACAAATACCGCCATGACGCCGTCATTTACAACGGAGTAGAAGTCTAACAAAAGCAGAGGAGAAAACAGTGGATTTGTAGTACTTGGTTTTTGCATTTAGTTCAACGAGGGACCTCTTGGTAAAAAGTAGGGGAGGGGGTGACGTTAGGCGCTGACGACGATCCTCCAGGTCAGTTAGCAGCGAGGCCTGTAGCTTCAGAAGAAAGCCTGAAAAAAACAAAAGGACAAAATTGACCAATCAGAAGAACGGAAACGTAGTTAGAGTATGATGTGATCGCAGTACTACAGTATGCGTATGTTTTAGGCAGGTGTGTACATTTACTACATGTCAGTTTTTCACTGGCTTTTTTTAAGTTATTAAAAAAAATTAACTACAGAAGCCACATTCTTTTTTTTTTTTTTAAAAAGAGAAAACACCAGGGTCGTGGACCACCACGTGGGAAGTAAGGCTGGAAAAAAATGTAAAAAAAAAGGAGAAAACACCACGGTCGTGGACCACCAGCAGGGTTGCAGGAAGTAAGGCTGGAAAAAAACATGGAATATTGTTGGGATTTACCTCCACATTTCTCTACATTTGCTTTGAACACAGAAAGAAAAAAGAAAAAAAAAAGAAAAAGAAAGAAACCCTCAGCTCAGCTGCAGGCTCTTACCGAGCGTTGATCAGATACTCTGCCAGATTAATACTGGCATGGGAGCCGGTGATGGTGACCTGTCGGTCAGTGGAGCCCTCCACTGGGTTGGCAATCTTGATCTGAGCGCCCGATATCTGACGTATTTCAGTAATCTTCGTGCCCTGTCGGCCGATGATGCAACCAATGAGCTGAAACAGAGAGAAAACAGAACCTTCAGTCACCAGGCAGTTTAACAAACAAACACACACACACACACACACACACACCACTCCAGTGTGTCATTGACCTCACGGTGGTTTATTTCAGGAGGTCAACAATGTCAACAGGTTTATTTCAGGAGGTCAACAATGTCAGCAAGTGGATTATTTGTCATTGTGACACAGCACACATAACCAACTGTGACTTCTGCTTTTAACCCATCACCAAAGTCAGCAGGGGGCAGTGTGTGGGGACAGTGCCGTGCTCAGAGCACCTCAGTGGTAACTTGGCAGCTGGTGGACTCGAACCTAAAACCTTCCGGACCCATCCTTAACCACTAAGCCACCACTGGCCCTTGGACAAAGACCAGAGACAAACTGACTTCAGATCAGTTCTGTTCTCTTTTAATAGAACTGAAGAAGAACCTCAGCTCTGAACGCACTGATGTCTCCTCCCAGTTTAACCCCCCCAGTGGACAGTTGAGGAGTTTACACCTCAACGTTGTCTTCGTCTGTTTCTTCAAACATGGATAAGGTTCTACAGAGTCATGAGTTCATCAGACTTACATCGTTTGGAATGGTCAGCTCATGAGAACCAGTCTGTGCAGAGGCATCCATCCCAGCTGCAGAAAGATACAACCACCATAATTAATCTTAATGATGATGATGATGATGATGATGATGAAACCTGGAGTCTGCCCACTCACCTTGGAAGCAGCCCTGGTTGCTGTGTGGAATGGGGAAGGGGCTCTGCTGCATGGCCAGCTGGTGAAGTTTGGTGAGCTGAGAAAACAAAAAGTTAAATGTCATGTTTTCAGCTGCTACAGCATGACAGAGCAGTTATGACTCCACACACTGACTGAACCCCCCAACTTCTACAGCTATATCTCACATTTTGTACGTTCAGCCTGATCACTTCGATGTTTATTTAGTCTGAAGTCTGATTTAAACGACGTCAGACTTCAGCTATTTGGAAATAATGGTCCAAACACCTCCACAGATTTCACCTCCTTCCTGCTCTCTCCTAACTTGATCTGTTATCAGCTAAAAGTGCCAGATCTTGCAAGAAAAACATGCAACCAGGTTGAAAAAAGTCCAAGAAGCAGCCGCTGACCACCAGCTGCTCATATAAAACATATATATTTATATATTTTTACATTTTTAGCAAAGATGATATGTTATTTTAAGTATTTTTCCGCCTGCTCTGCAGAGAGAAGCAGGAGGCTGAGATATAATTTTCCAGGATTAGCGTTAGCGTTTCCAGAACATTCCTTTCATTTTCCATATATTTTCCACCACTGGAAAAAATGCTCAGACCCGTTCCAGTGTGTGTGGGAAGCCCCGTTAAGTTTGAAAGTCAAAGCTGAAACGGCGACGGTGTGTGTTAGTATTTCATCAGTGATTGCGGTGACGATGGGAAGAAAACTGTGAGAATGAAGATAAATGGGTTTAATCATAGTAACGATGATGGAGAACTGGAGAAGATGGAGCTGGTATGGAGGCATCCATCAAGCATTGGAGGTTGAAATCGGAGCAGAGGGATGAAATAAGTAGGTGGGGCATGACTTCCTAGGACCGAAGTTACAAATATGTTGAATCACTTACAGAGGGCCCTTCACTTACATCAGGCTGTGGAATGGCGTGCTGCCCTTGGACAGCGTAGGCCTGCAACAAGAGAGCAGCATTTTAGAGGGTGTGGTACTGAAACACAAACTACCCTACAATACGCATCAACCCAAAGTCCACAGACAAATCCAGACATGTAACACAGCCACCAGGGCGGCGGCGGCAGCAGCAGCAGCAGAAGAAAGAAAAGGACGCAGCAGACATTTAATGTAACTCCCAGGACTTGAACTGCTTCAGGACAAAAATGTGACTTTCCTCTGGTAAAAACCACGTAAAGAATGAACCAACAATGGATGACACGACAAGAGCTGCAGTCTGCTGAGCAAAGATAAACGTCTGTTATTTACCTGACCACCTGCGAAGATGACTGGAGAGCCTGAGGGTTTGGGTCTGTAGGGGATGGTCACTCCTTTGGGTGGAGACTAAAAAAATAAAAAATAAATGAGGTGACTGAAGAAAAGCAAAACTATCTTTCATTATACTCAGGTGCAACTTATATATTAAAATATATAATTTCACATGTTTTAATTTTCACACTGACAGCCACTAGAGGGCACTCTAGGCTTGTGTACCCATATCTGCTACTCCTGTACCACTGAAAATTTACATGTTGGTTATTTTCACACTGTCAGCCCCTAGAGGGCACTGGTGGGAATTATACCCCAGAGTGATTTATAGTCTGGAAAATACGGTAATCAATATTTTTATATTACCATTGTCGTGACAAAGTGTCAGGAGTTATGAAAGTACCTCGAGCATGACGACACAGATCTGCTTCACACACTCGATAATGGACTGTGGCGTCCCTGCGACCGTGATGGCACGCTCTGTGGAGTTGGGCAACATGTCCCCCGCTACTTGTACCTGAGCTCCTGCTGACTGCGTAAACGACACCAACAGGAGTAAAGACACATCAGGGGAGGGGTTCATCAAAAAGAACAACAATAATTTCAAAAAAAATTAAAAAAAAAAAATCACACACACACCTCTCTGATTTCCTTGATCTTGCAGCCACCCTTGCCGATGAGCGAGCCACACTGGCTGGCAGGCACAACAAGGCGCATGGTGACTGGTGGTTTGCTGGTGGCCGTACTGTTGGTCATGGAGTTGCTGATGTCCTACAGGGGGCAGCGTCAGTGTTAGTACAGTCAGGGATGAATGTCTCCACACATTTGTCCTCACGTGCAGCTCTGACCTCCTCCAGTTTCTCGATGATCATGGAAAAGGCTTTAAAAATGGAGGTGGTGGGTCCAGCCAGGGTTATGATCCTCTCTGGACAATTTCCCTCTGAGATGTTGATGCCTCACGTGCTCTGCACAAAACAGGAAACAAAGGTAAACGAAGGTAACAAAATCAATAATTTAAATCACTTCAAACATCTTTAAAATAACTTCATCACTTTTTATAACATGAATTCAACTGCCTCCAGGTGAGAATTACACACAGTCCACACACACACACACACACTCTCTGTCATTTACACACACTGCTGGGAAAAAAAATTTACAGCTTATGTCAGAGCAGCCTGACTGAGACCAGGACAGTCAGCCAGTCTACGACTGACAGTCTGACTGACACAACAGTCAGATGGATGGTTCAGGACTGTAGACTGATCAATATGGTTGAGGACAACGACTGGACTGAAGTCTAGAAAGAACCACACGTTCTATGGAGAGACAGATTCACTCAGACTGTTGGACATTTGTCCACGTTAATAATCTCATCATTTGGATCAGTCACAGGTAAAAACAAGTGAGAAACACTGACCTCTACCTGTTGTTTTGTTCCAGTGATTTAACCAACTTTTTTTTCATATTTAGTTGAGCCTTCGTAAATAGCCCACAGCTAACTTAGCCACAGCTTAGCTCTGACTTCACAGGTGACTTCTCTGTCCTGTTTTTTTTTTAATTTAAGCACAGAGTTTAAACCCATGATTCCGTACGTACATATAACAGACTAAGAACTTCTCTGAACATGTTTTTCTTTGAGGATTATTATTATTATTATTATTATTATTATTCTTACCTCCTCTCTCATCTTCTTCACCGACTCTCCTTTCTGTGAAGAGAACACACGCCTGTTGTCTTTACTCATCACAATGAAAGAACCAATGATGTCATATCAGCAGTAAAGAACCGAGAGACCAACCTTTCCAATGATGCTTCCAACCTCCTGAGAAAGAGAACAAACACAAACACACACTTTTGAAAAGGTTCTTAAAGTGCAGGTACAATCTGAGTCACTTTGTCACGACAACATGACATGATACTAATCTACAAGTTACTGCTCAGGGTCAGAACCAAGCTGGGTGAAGAGATGCATTTGACGGTACATGAATGGATGTTAAGCAGGGGTCTCAAACCTCAGGCCCGGGGTGTAGAGAGACAGTTGCTGGTACACACAGACTAACTCACCTTTCCATGCATGAGTAACTTGATGGTGAGAGTGACATTTAGTCCTCCTTCAACCAGTGTTGAGTCCATTGCTGTCACCGGAGTGAGTCTTTGGTCGCACGCTGATCGTCTGCAACAAGGACGTGACGTGACCATCAGGGACATACAGGACGTGGAGACAGTAAACTACTGGACATGTATTTCGTGTTTACTGCCGGGCTGCCGTCTCACTGCTGGTCAGTGAGGTTCAGCCGGCAGTTCACACATTGTAGATGTGTGTCAGATAATGACGCTATCTGACCACTGCCAAAAAGAATGACACTGTTGACCAAAGTAATTCACATTAGATTGGCCGGAGTCCACTCATTCACATTAGCACAATGACCCACTGTCTCTGACGGTCCGGTCTGAAACCCCCGGTGTTAACAAGCTGCAAGAAATATAGTTTATATTTCACCAGAAATGCAGAACCTTAAACTAAATTAATAATTTACACAACTGTGTGAGTTAACGATAAAAACAAGGACCGAGAAAACTCACGAGAAAACGTCACCAACCCAAGCAGTGTTGTATTTTGGTCAGGGCAGCACAGTCACGCAAATTAGCTTGAGCGGCTAAAGTGGGGGATGATACCATAGAAACGTAAACTCGCAGGTTATTCGTGAAACCCCGCAGGACACGGAGCCCGTCTGAATGACCGGTGCTAGCAGCTCGCACTCGGACCAATCGTGATACCAAAACCCACTTCGGTAATTTTCCACCAGCTCGCTAGCGTTAGCACCCGGAGAGAGCCAGTAAATAGCCGGGCCCGCGGCCTACGCGGAGGAACACACTGGGAGACGCTGTCCTTCATCTCGGGAAAAAAAAAACAAAGGTGCACATTCGGAAGGCTTACCCGAGTGGTCCGTTCGAAAGTGATCGGGGGGTGGGTATGGTGGCAAGGGTGGAAGGGGGAGAGGTTCGGGAGGGAGTTTTAAAAGGATCCGGGGAAGAGGGAAGCGACAACACTGTCAGATCCAGACTCCACTCTACGGCTTAGCACAAAAGACAAACTGCGTTCAACTATGACCTCCTCTGACCACGCCCCTCGACGACTGTAGCCACGCCCACGCTCCCCACGCTTCTTCCAAAATATAAATACATTCAAATAAGGGGTCAACAGCGATGGGTTTATTATTTAAATAAATCAGTCACTTCAAGTACTACTTTCAAAATACTACAATGGCTAATCTTTCAATATTTTAAAAAATAATTAATAGGTTTTACTGCAGTATTTTATAGAAAAGCAGCGTAAAATATAAGTGAAGAAAACTATTACTACTACTTTTCTCTGTATACTTTTGTAGGATGTACATTCAAGTGCAAACCGGAAACGTTTTTTTCCCCCATGTCCCTTCAGGGGCTCCGTATATCTTAAAGCAATCAGCAAATTTTGTAGTAACTTACAAAAAATAAATAAAAATAGTTGCTGTTTAACTAAAATCCTTTATAGTTTTTATTTCTTACACTGAGGAATAATTTGATTTACATCAGGACCAGATGTTTTCTATAAAATCTATTTTTCGATTGTTCTGTTCTTTTATTGGGTTGTTAGACAATTGTTGTTGTTGTTGTTCTGTTCTTTTATTGGGTTGTTAGTCAATTGTTGTTGTTGTTTTTTTCCAGACCCACTCAGGAAATAGTATTAAGAACTGCCCCAGGACGGTGTCTCTGCTCTTTGTCTTGGACGAACTCAGGGAACCCTGAGACTCTGGGACTGGGACAAAAAATGTCTTAAAATAGATAATCAAATTTAGATTATTTTTTTATATAAAACGGTTGATGCAATTCATAATATTAAGGTGAATATCACTTCTAAAATAATTATAGTCTCTAATGAGACAGTAAGTACTCAGCTCACCGTAGACACATCGTAAATATGTGGATGATTGACGATAATTATAAAGTGTAACACGATAATGCGTAATTGTAAAATATTACATAATTGTGAAAATATACACAACACAGCAATTACACTTTAAACCGACAGATGGCACCACAACTCCACATGTTTTTCAGCGCCCAGGCGTTTTCAAGAAAAAAAATATAATTTTAATTTTTAATATTAATGTTTCAAACGTATTTACGTACCGACTAAATGGTATATGAACAAAAACGAATCGATTAAATAAATAAATAAATTGTCCATTAAAAATATATTTGATGCAGCTGTTTTCTTTTTCTTTTCAAACCAACTACAAATTAATTTGACTTGATTTTAGAATTTTCTTTCCAGTGCAATGACAATAAAATGATTTGGGTTAAATTTAAGAATAGAGCGTAGCTTTTCTACGTTGTATTTGAACCAGAAAGAAACACCAGGTTAAATCAATCAAACAAACATATCGTCATGTCTGATTGATTGATGGGACAAATGAGGCGACGTGAGTTTTCGTCCCTGTGTTGATTTTTTAAATGGTCTGTGAAGGAGAGCAGAGCTGCAGGTTAAAGGTGAACGTAAAGAAACATAACAAAGTTATGACGAGACACAGTAACAAAAAACCTCAGAACAGACGAGTCAGATTAATAAAAAAAGGAACTGGTCCAGCTCTGGTGGAGAGAAGAATCTGCCTGGACTCAGTCAACACATGTCGATCAATCTGCTGCACATCAGAGCCTCAGCCGTACAATTAGTCAATGGACAGAATCACTGGCTTCTGTCTGATATGTATATGTATATGTATATGTATATGTATATGTATATGTATATGTATATGTATATGTATATGTATATGTATATGTATATGTATATGTATATGTATATGTATATGTATATGTATATGTATATGTATATGTATATGTATATGTATATGTATATGTATATGTATATGTATATGTATATGTATATGTATATGTATATGTATATGTATATGTATATGTATATGTATATGTATATGTATATGTATATGTATATGTATATGTATATGTATATGTATATGTATATGTATATGTATATGTATATGTATATGTATATGTATATGTATATGTATATGTATATGTATATGTATATGTATATGTATATGTATATGTATATGTATATGTATATGTATATGTATATGTATATGTATATGTATATGTATATGTATATGTATATGTATATGTATATGTATATGTATATGTATATGTATATGTATATGTATATGTATATGTATATGTATATGTATATGTATATGTATATGTATATGTATATGTATATGTATATGTATATGTATATGTATATGTATATGTATATGTATATGTATATGTATATGTATATGTATATGTATATGTATATGTATATGTATATGTATATGTATATGTATATGTATATGTATATGTATATGTATATGTATATGTATATGTATATGTATATGTATATGTATATGTATATGTATATGTATATGTATATGTATATGTATATGTATATGTATATGTATATGTATATGTATATGTATATGTATATGTATATGTATATGTATATGTATATGTATATGTATATGTATATGTATATGTATATGTATATGTATATGTATATGTATATGTATATGTATATGTATATGTATATGTATATGTATATGTATATGTATATGTATATGTATATGTATATGTATATGTATATGTATATGTATATGTATATGTATATGTATATGTATATGTATATGTATATGTATATGTATATGTATATGTATATGTATATGTATATGTATATGTATATGTATATGTATATGTATATGTATATGTATATGTATATGTATATGTATATGTATATGTATATGTATATGTATATGTATATGTATATGTATATGTATATGTATATGTATATGTATATGTATATGTATATGTATATGTATATGTATATGTATATGTATATGTATATGTATATGTATATGTATATGTATATGTATATGTATATGTATATGTATATGTATATGTATATGTATATGTATATGTATATGTATATGTATATGTATATGTATATGTATATGTATATGTATATGTATATGTATATGTATATGTATATGTATATGTATATGTATATGTATATGTATATGTATATGTATATGTATATGTATATGTATATGTATATGTATATGTATATGTATATGTATATGTATATAGATTTATACAAACTGAGAGAGAATCACTGGTTGTTTTCTGTTTTGTTCTGACTGTTTGGTGTCCTTGACTGTCAGACAGTGGCCTTCAAATTAAATGTTAAATCATTATTATAATAATTGTTGATGCAGCAGAAGAATCTGCTCAAGGCTTTCGCTTCTGTCAGAATCCTGCTGTCATTCACCCGCTCTGTTGGGTCCGTAGTTAGTTCCAGGGCCTGTTTATCCAATCCTCTTCTGTCCTTATCGGCGCCTCCTCAGAGTTTCTTGTCATTTAAACGGCTCTCTTTTATCTCACTAAAGCAAAGATGCTGCAATGTCAAAAGTGGGACTCGGTTCCCCCTGCAGGAGTGTCAACAGAGCCTGTGCCTGATGCTAGTGTGGCATCACAACCTCAGCGCCACTAATTTTAGACATAGCCACAGGGTCACAGCCAGAGGTCACACGTGTCCTTATGACGGGTCCAGTCACGAGCCCGAAAGGATGCGACGCGGCTGTGACACCCCACTTTTATTTTAAAAGGATCGGCCACAAATAGCCCGCTCCAGCAGTGACAAATAATTGGAGTGATGTCTCGGTGGCACAAACACAAGGAAGAGTCTGCATTTTAATGCCAGTCTTCACAGAGAGAGAAAAAAAAGTCCCACTTATGCAAGTGCTGTTTAAACTCTGGGTTACATGAAAGTGAGCTTTTCAACTTCCTTTAATGTTCACTGCACATATATTTCATATATTGCTCCCTCTCTCTTTTTATCATGCGCTCAAAACACACACAAAAAAGGTAAAATTCATAACCATGTTCTTAGTACAGACGTTCTCACTGCCGTCGCCTGGATTTGATCTTTGGTCTTTTCCACTGAACAGTTGTTTGTTCCAGAAAAAAAAAAAACTCCACCGTTAGTTTTAGACTTTCTCTAAAATGTATTTTTTTATTTCTCTAAAACATTTTTTTTCCTCTGAACTCCTCGATTTCTCCTGCTCTAAATCACCAGGTGCCTCAGGTAGTATGGACATGGGAGGTCAAAGGGCATGAGAGGCTTCCGGTGGAATATGACACACTGAACAGAAGTGTGCCATCAATCTTGAATGATTATCAAACCTTCAGTCACTAGGTGGCAGCAATTCATAGAGAGGTTTGTAGAGATTAAAAAAACAACATATTATCAGGTTCTCAATAGTATTTCAATGCAGAGGGGGGTGATTATAATTCTGTCCCCTAGGGGGGGCATGACAGAAAATAATTGAGGACCACTGCTCTGACCCCATTTTTTGCTGACACGTGCCATGAAATAGAGCCAGGGCCACAGCTTGCTGAAATGGTGATCAAGCAAATCAAAACACAGATTATATAACAGATATATAGCCAGGTGGAGATGAGAGAAATCTCATCACTATAGCCCCCCCTGCAGTCGAAGCACAGGATTGAAGTTATTGCGTCCCACTGTGTGAAGGGATTAGCTCCCAGCTAGCTTAGCTCGGCCAAGTACAAGCTGCAGTTTACACGACCCAACCTTTGGCTGACTCCGCTGCCCCGGACGTCCACGCTCAGATCAGGTGCCCAGTCATTAGTCACGTTCTTATCCAATCAGCTCTCACTGATTCTGGGCATTCTCTTGAAGAGGACAGATTGTCTTTTATTGTCAGTTTAATTTCCAACCGGAGATTAGTCATGTTTATGTAGAGTCTTACACCGCAGACATCCACTGTGTGTGTGTGTGTGTGTGTGTCCACAGAAGACAAGCCGGAGCAGAGCTGCCTCTTTCCATAGGCCACATGGATGGTGCCACCTGCTGGAGGTGGCACCATAGACAGCCATGAAGAAATGATAAAGTTTAAATAAGAATAAATAAAATAAAATAAAATAAATAGAAGAAATAATTTGGAACACTCACAAGATCGATCCATGATTAAACCTTTAATGTCTTTCATGCTGCTGTGCATGAATGTTTGGGGTGGTGTTTTCGCCTTGGGCACCAGAAATGCCTAGATCCAGCCCTGCTTCCATTCACAAATATCTGTGCTGCTGTTATTCACTTATGGAGTGTATGGTTTTAGAGCAAGAAATGAAAATAAATTAGACTGTATTTCTGTATTAATTGATCACATTATGATGTATCATACAGTAACGACATCTGTCATGATTTTAAAATTGGAATTACAGATGAAAAAAAACATAAATCCCAGACAACAATCAAAATGACACTTGTGTGAAACTCTGATGTCATATTGTACAATAATGACTCATCAAATGGAATATTTTTGTAAAATGAATTAATAGTAAAGAACCATCTTTAAATCAGAGGTCCTAGACCGCCACCCACATGTTGAACACCACTGGTGTTAACAACTGGTACATGTTTAATAATAACAATAACAACGTTAATAATAATAATAATAAAAATACTTGATGCATGATCCATCTATTTTGATTCTATTTTTTCTTCTCTGCCTTTTAATCATCAAAGAACGTCACCCCTGACACACACGCACACGCACGCACGCACGCACACACACAGGCTGCTCATGTTCGCCGCTCTCTGCGCATCGCGATTCACTAACCACCGTTTGCTCGTGTGTGACACCGTGATTTGTGGATTTCGATGACTGTATACGTTCAGCTGACTCTCTAGTCGTGGGCCCCCACCCCCACCCCCGCTGCTCCCATCATTTGGTGTCTCCATGGACCAAGCACCGCCGCCGCCACTGCTGCTGATGCTGCC